ACTCAGGCTTAAGGGGATTTATGTTGCATCACAAGTAAAAATAGTATATTGTCACAGTTCAGGGGATTGCAATACTTCTGAGATAATGAGGATAAAGCAGTGAAAAATTGCTACTGAAACTCAAAAAAAATTTATGCAAAAAGTGAGACTAGAGATGATAGGTACAATTGTCAATGCCTCATACTTCATGCATCATTATCTTGACACATGTCTGAATTGACACCATAAGCCTTCCTGATCAAAGCAGCTCAACCAAACCCACACCTGCAAATGAGTGAGTCTTGTGGAATATTATTTGCATATCAGTCCTCAGCAGTAAGTTTGGCCTTGAAATTTGAAATGTTTGAAGGGGTGACAGAATTGAATTGGCATTGGAGCTATTTCCAAATCTAAATATGTTTTGTTCTTGAAGATATCACTACAAGCAATACCCATTTTGCCCCAAAAATAAATGGCAATTTGGGTGGGGGAAAATGGATCAATTTTCTGGCACTTTTTTCCAAAATGCCTCAGGAGTAGAAATTAGGCTAAACTGAGCTATTTTAGCCCAGAGATAGAAATTCATCAAACATTCCAAAATGAATTTTTAGCTCATTTGAGACATTTTTATTTTTTGGCTAAAATAGCTCATTTTAGCCTAATTTTTTACTCCTGAGGCATCTTGTAAAAAAAGTGCCAGAAAATTGATCTACTTTCCACCATCCAAATTGCCATTTTTCCTTGGGGCAAAATCAGTATTGTTTGTAGTGTATAGCATTTCTTACATGCGGGGTTGAAAGAATAAAACCAGCTGAAGATTTGTTGCAGAGCTTGTTTTCTGAAAGGTTTTCACACCATGGCCTCTTATCTAAGGTTCATTTTTTGATACAAGAGCACAATTAAATGTCTCCTTATGTCAAGATTATACAGTGAAAGTGGGTATAAGATTACCATACTGGTTTGGAGAAAACACAAGCAGCATTATCTTCTTGCCTATGCTTCAGTTTTGCCACCAGAAAGGGTGGGAATCCTGGGATCATAAATGAGCATTGACTATCTGGATTTTTCCAACAATCCACACCCCTCCCTGATTAATCATCTGCTACTCTCACTTTAAGAAAATAATAAGCAGCTCAGGACAACCCCAGCCATGCTATTGCAAAGTATGTTATGTGCCTTCTATCTCTTAAATTTCTATGGAACTTCAGCACATCCAAAACCATATCCAAAGGATATAGAAAACAGAGGACTTGATCAAGGTGATGCAGTAGTTAATCAACTTCACCTCCTACACAAGAGAATGGAAGGGAGTTCCAAAGGTATGTCTACATTCCCAAGGATTTTTATTCCACTAGATGAATTCAATCTCAGCATCATTGGCTGTTGTGAGGGTATCCCAGTTTAACTTTGATGCAATCAATCAATTTAACCTTCATTGCATCTCAACCAATGAAATATCAGTCCAAGGCCTGTCTCATATTCATATTTATTTAATTGGTTGCAATTTAGCCAAGTTCAAATTGGTAGAGTTTATCCCATTTTAGCTGGGATAAGCTCAACCCAGCCAATATATATAATTTGGCAATGATCTTCTTCTGTCTATCAAGAAATTAAAATGGATCAATGCTGAGATTTAAATTTCTGAATTGATTTCCAACCTGTAAAAAAACTTGCAAAATTTCTATCAATTTGAAATTTTGATTCCCACTACACAGGAAAGCTTGAAGCAATTGATGATTTCAAACGTAAGCTTTATCCAAAAATTCAAAACCCACTGGATTAAATTTTTGAGCTAATTTATTCTGTTTTTTTTTTAAAAAAAAAAGACCAATTTAATCAAAGAATGGATTCCAGAATCAAACAGACTCACACAGAATTTGAAAAGATACGTGAATAAAGTGATAAAGAATTCAGCAAACAATCAAGAGAACTTGAAGATAAGTTTCAGCATCATAATATGATGATATGATTCATATGGCAGATTGGAAATCAAATTGGGAAAAATCATCTCGTAATCTTGAATAATTTAGGCATTGTTTATCCTCCAAATAGTAAACCACAAATGTGCTTTCAAAAGATAGATTAACATATTTTTTCAAAAGAATCTGATTTTTTTTGAGAAGAAAAATCAGCCCATTACATCTATTTGTGAATCTGTCTTTGGGATTCTATGATCAATTTTTGCAAGTGTTTGTTTCCTTTCCAATGATTATTGAATGTTATGATGGGCCAGGTCAAATGAGCACCATCTTTTGATCAAATGCACACAATTTCTGGAGTGATCACTTCTAGTTTGACACTCCAAACAACATTTGTGTGACCAACCAGTTCCCTCCAAAGTAGAGATCGTTTGTTCAGACCTGGGTACCTGTTTATACATAGGTAACTGTTCATTTTTTCAAGAAAATAGATACTGTGTACCGCACCAGGCACCTCCCGGCGGGTACCGGCGGTACTTGTGGCAGATACCGCGGGTACCTCCCCTCTCTTTTTCACTTAGTTCCACAAGCTATCTCAACATTGGAGGACTTCCCATCAGTTTAGAAACCCGGCTATTTCCTATTTCCTATTTCTATTTTCCAATTTTTGGTGATGAAATTCGGAATTAGACAAGTAATTTTAGAATTTAGAATTTAGACTGGTGTCTAAATCCCGACAGGAAGTCCTCCATTACTTCATATCCTGTACTAGATATGTGGTGAAATCAAACTGGATGTGCTGTTTTTGTTTACTTCTTCACACTATTTTAACAAAAAAAGGAAAAAATATTGCATATCCAGTTTTTTACTGCATATCCAGTACTAGATATGAAGTACTGTTGAGAGTGTATAGTCAATTTTTTCATATTTATTATAAAATATGCAGCCCTCCCACCCACCCTATTTTAGGGAAGTGGGGTGGTACCTGCAATACCTGCGGCACCTCCTGTTTTTTTCCCAAAAACAGAAATGTGGAACCGCACCCACTTCGAAAGGGGTTGTATCAGTTACAACCCCCCGCGATAAGGTTGCCCAGAGGCTACCAATATAAGATTGGTCTGATTGACCAATTTTATATTGGTCGGGGCCACCAATACATTAGAACAAAGGAAAAATGTATTGGTGGGCCTGGCCAATATAAAATCAGTCAAGGAGACCGATGTTATATTGGTCGCCTCGGGGCAATGTTATCGCGGGGGGTTGTAACCGATACAACCCCTTTCGCTGTGACCTGGCACCTCCTGGCAGGTGCGCAGTGGGTGCCAGAGGTACCCCCCAAGCGGTACTAGGTACCTGAAAGGAGTACTGCGGAACAATCTCTACTCTAAAGCTTTTTAATTTTGGAGTGCTCCACTGTTCCCTCTAGTTCCTTTGGGGAAAAAAGTCTCAAGCAAAATTGTTTGGAACCTTTTTCTGGCTGTCAATAGAGTGTCTTGAAGTCTGTAAAATACTTTCTGGAATTCATTACTAGGGTTATTCACACTCAGAATTAGGTCAACTTTGTAAACACTCAACAGCATGGGGAATATCCAAAACCGGATCAACACAGATGAAGAATTTGTTCAGGGAAACCAGGTGACCAAGATTTGGAGATCAGTCAAGACAGGCCAAGCCTCACAATGTGATAAAAAAAAGTTAGAAAGTAAGAAAGAGGAAACAAAGAAAGAAATGTTAAAGGTGCTATGTATTTCAGTAAGGAAAAGGAAATTAAGAGATCAGAACTGGTCAAGGTGACTTCAGACTAGCTACATGCAGGTATCTCAACAGATGTCTTCACCTTTCAAACAGCCCTTGGTTTGATTATCAAGACAAGAGATGAATAAATTATCTGTGGTGGTTCAACAGCCAGAAGGGAACTAATAGACCAGACCCAGTTTCATTCCACCAAACCCACACCTCCCAAGGAAGCTGTGTTGCCCATGATACTTCAGGATGCAACAAATCCTATCCTCCTCAAGATTGTGCAAGATGGCTCTTGTAAAACACTTAAATGAACTTGACAGACTTTGACTGGATGCATGTCCAAGCACAGGATGTAAATGGACATACACATATGCCCAGGCCACAAAGTGTACTTGGCCAAGGCACAAGCACCATTAATTGGCTCATGGCCAAGCTTGGGGACAGTTGGGGACAAATTCCTACTTAGCCAATCCCCAAGCTATAAGGGTACCACATACCTCAATGCTCAAGTGAAAAAAAAAAACTTCCAAGGGGTGGGGGTAGGCTGTGTTCTTGCTACTCCTGTAGCTGGTTGTTGATCATGGTGGCTGAGCTCACGGTATCCTTCCCATCCATCGAAATTCAAAGAGAGAATGTTGATAAAAATCCAAGGTCTTTCCTTGAGCCTGATCAGGTGAGGAAATAGATTTTTCTGCAAGTATCCCCTTCTTCACAGGAAATTGAGCTTGGTAGAGGTGGATGTAAAGCTATTCAATATTGCAAGTGAAGAAACTAGAGATTTTGATGAGAGAGGGTGAAGAGACCTGGAGAAAGAAATCCTCAAGGAAAAGCTCAGAGGAAAAACAAAAAAGGTCTTAGAGCCCGAAAAAGGGCCTAAAGGCTGCTAGCTTGCGTGGAGGAAAAGCTCACACGCTACAAGGAGTTGTATTCTGTAGAGACTCCAGGGATCAGTGCGCAGAAGAACGGATGATTTTCATTTTCTAACTCAAGTATGGCTGTTTTTATCTACATACAAATGAGGGCTAAGCTGTGGGACAGAAGGTGAAAATGATGAATATTCATCTGGAGCTGGAAAAGGAGTGACAATGAAGTGAAAGAGAGAAAAGACGGAGACAATGGAATTCCAACAGCAAGCCATGATTTTCTCATATGCAGGAGTTGGCTTCTTTCCTGGAGCTAGCAATGGATCACCAGGATATAGTGAGTAGGAATGAACTCAAGATTCCTAAAAATATCTTGCATCTGACAATATAAAAGGCCACATCATTTGTTTTGTTCCTAAGCTCAACTTCAACTTTGGTCCCATTCCAACCACTTGTACTGTGAATATTCCAAACCCCAGCTCTTGATCTCAATCCTGAAGAACTAGCTGATTCACTTTTTGTTTGGTTTATGACTGCACAGAAGAAAAAAACAGTTTACAAGCCTTGTTTGTTTGGTTGGAATGCAATCATCTGCAGATTTGATTTTGATTGAAAGGTGTGGAATGAATGCATTAAGACAACTATGGTTAAAAAAAACATCAACAACAACAAGAATAAGGACATGGTAGAAAGTATATTCTTTTGAGCTGAGAGGTATTATAAGAGGCTGAATAGTTGTTGAAGGGTTGGAGAGTATAAATGAGTCACATGAAACAACTGTTTTGGTTGAATCCAGAGTGATTCTTATCTCTGATCTCTACTATGAATCTTTTCTACTCTTGATCTTCTTCAGGTTCGAAGGATTGGTCTCTAGCTTGCTGTTGTCGATCCATTCAACCGGAGACTCTTTCTCTCTGTTCTTTTTCTTGTTTTTGAGCTGTTGGTGATCGATATTGATGGGCTATGGATTCGAGTGGAGATGATGAGCATGTTCTTGCATATATTTCTATTCTAGATCTGTTACTTGATCGTCTTTCGTTCGTCTCTTGTTCTTCTTTTTCTTTTCCTTCGAACCAGTTTCTTCAACTCCTTCGTCTAGAGTCGAATCAGCTGTCTTCCGTCTCTTCTGTTTCTTCTTTTTCTTTTCCTTCGTACCAGTTTCTTCAACTCCTTCGTCTAGAGTCGAATCGGTTGTCTTCCGTCTCTTCTGTTTCTTCTTCTTCTTCTCCTTTGAACCGGTTTCTTCAACTCCATCCTCTTTGGTAGCCTCGCTAGTCTTTCGTTTCTTGTTCTTCTTCTTCTGTTTGGAATCAGTTTCAAGCGGTGTAGCTTGTTCCGTATTAGTAGTGGTAGTAGTAGACTTCCGTTTCTTGGATGGGGGTGATTCTTGGTCAGTTTTGCGTTTAGAGCTCTTCTTTTGAGTTGATTCTTCTAGTTGTTGTTGTTGTGAATCTTCTTCTTGATTTGGTTCGTCTTCTGTTGTAACTGCTGTCTCTTGTTCTTCTTCTTCTTCTGAGATCGTTCCTTGGATCGTTTTCCCTCTAATGAATCGTCTATAGAGTTCTAGCCTCCCAGCCTTCTGCTTGGCGAGATCGATAGCATGGATGTTGAGGTTCTATGTAAAGGTCTCGACGTGAGTATTGTATATTGTAGCTGGGTAAGTGTAATGATTAGTTTTAGCTTAACTGAGTTTGTTGTTGTTTTGGTTGTTGTTGTTTTTGGTTGATCTAGTTTGGAAGCGATCTGTGTGAATAGGTCGTCCCACCAAGGGTGGCTGGTCTCCCTGTCCTTGCCGATGCCGAAATGGTTCTTCTTCTGGATGGCTGTTATTGGCTTTGCTCGGCTGGTCGTCGTGAATCCGTTTCCTGGGCCACTCCAACCTTGCTTGCTGAGGTAGTTGGTTGGGTTGAATACCATGATGACTTGGCGGTTTTGTTGTTGTTGATGATGATGATGATGTGGTTGTTGTTGTTGTTATGGTTCTTGGTGGGGTTTTCTGGTTGGATTGTTGTTGTGGGAACCAAGAAGAGATAAAATCACAGCCTCCATCAAGTCTTTAAATTGCTGTGAGCGTCCCATCAAAAACCAAGAACTCACAAAAAAACAAAAAACAACCAAGAATGATGAGAAGAACAAGATCACTAACAACAACAGCAACAACATCGACAGCAGTAGTAGGAGCAGTCAAGGATGAGGCATGCTTCGTAGAACCCACCAGCTACCCCAACATCAAATTACCAGGACCAGCAGATCAGGAAAAAGAAGAAGAAACCACCACACCGGCAGACCAAGATCATAATCAATCCTCCAAACGAATCGACTTCCTCAGCCAACTACCCACCGAACTGGCACTCTACATCCTCCTCAAGCTGGCCATCGAGCACCAGACCATCCACCTCCTCAACTGTCGAGCAGTCTCAACCAACTGGAAAGGCCTGGCTGAGGACAACCTGATCTGGAAACAGAGCTACCTCACCCAGCCACACTGGAAAATCAACCACAACATCAACACCACTACTACCCCTAAAACTACGCACATCCAACGAAGACTCAGTCAACTGATCGGATCACCCAACTCACTCATCACCCCATCAGCATCATCTTCATCAAAATCAATACCATCACTCCCCGAACTTAATTGGCTCAAACTCTTTCGCGATAGATCCATCTTGGACTCCAGGTGGAGCGATGGCACCCAAGTCTCCAAGAAACTCAAAGGACATAAGGACTCGGTCTACTGTCTACAGATGCACGACCAACAGATCATCACTGGCTCAGTAAGCTGAACTTTTCCTTTTCATACAAACTAACTAAACCAAACTGACCCTTATCTATATCAGAGGGACAGGACGATCAAGGTCTGGGATACGCGCACAAGAGAGTGTCAGCGGACCCTAGTAGGCCACAAGGGGAGTGTGCTATGTGTGCGCTTCGACGAGCAGGTCCTCCTATCAGGCTCGTCGGACAGCAGCGTGTTTGTGTGGGACAAGGCCCGCTGGACCGTCGTCATCGAGCTCGTCGGCCATCGCTCCGGGGTCCTCGACCTCGGCCTCACTCCGACCGCCTTCGTCAGCTGCTCCAAGGACACCACCATCAAGGTCTGGGCGAGGCCCGATGGCGCACTCCTCCGGACGATCTCCGGCCATGCTGGCCCCGTCAACGCACTCGAACTCTCCCTCTTGCCCCTCCACACCCTGCTCGGAAATCAGCCCTCTCCCTCTAGTTCTTCTAATAACAGTAAGGCCTTACTCTCAGCCTCCGGCGACTCCTCCATGAAACTCTGGGACCTCGACTCGGGCAAACTGATCCGGACCTTTGAGGGCCATCTCCGAGGCCTGGCCTGTCTCAAACTGGTCGAAGAGACCCGCCAGATCATCACGGGCTCGAACGACGAAACGATCAAGATCTGGAACTTGATCACCTCCCAATGTCTGCGCACCCTCCTCGGCCATTCCGGCCTCGTCCGTTCTCTCGACTTCTCCCTCCCCCACAATCGGCTCGTCTCCGGATCGTCAGTCCCCTCTTCTCTTCCCTCAAAATCCCATCGTAGACTCATTTCCCTCCTTTTCTGTTTATAGGTATGATAAAACGATCAAGGTCTGGGACCTGACCACTGGCCAGCTCCTCCTCGACTTCCGTAAAGGAGCCGACCGGAACCTAGTGTTTGATGTGAAGTTCAATCTGACCACTATTGTCTCCGTTGGCCCTCCCAACAGCGTCATGCTTGTACGTCTATTTTTTTTTTCACCTCCTTGTGGTAACAAAATGATTGATCGCCTTTCTTGTCTTGTCTTGTCTTTTTAGTTGGACTTCGCTGATGGTCTCGAGGCCGATATGTTCCAATAAGAACTTCCCATTTCAATCAAGTCGGCTTACGTAAAGGACATTATCCCAAAATCACTGGATTTCTGTACATACATATCCCCCCTTTTAATACTTGCTTTGTATACTTTATTAATCACCCCTTTCCCAGGTTGTTCTTTGTTTCATTTCTTTGATCTAGAACCTTTTCCATCAGACTACTTCATAATCTTTTTTTTTCTTTGCTCGTTTTTTTTTTTTTTTGCTCATACATTGCTCATGTTATTCTTTTCTCTTCCTGCTGCTTTTTTTTTCTCTCTCTCTCTCTCTTACTGCTTTGTTTTCAAAAAAAAAAAAAAAAAAGAGAGAGATGAAAAAATAATAATTGTATGTATCATTTTGTTTGACTGGCTTCAATTTAATGTATCTTTTTTTTTGCTTGGAAGTGACTTGCTTTTAAATCAATCACTCGGCCTGAACCTAAGCCACCCCCAGAAAACAAAAGCGGAAGAGAAAGAAAGAGAAAGAAAGGGAAAGAAAGATAGATAGACAAAGAATGAAATTTAAAGAAAGAAAAAATAGTATATCATCTTCCTTCCAAAGCCAGTCATGACAAAGCTGAAGAGCAAACAAGGATAGTTTGGTGGAAACATTCAAGGGGAGCGTTCGGATTTGATTGACAATGATCAATGTGATCATAATACTCAACCAGTCTTTGATTGAGTTGTTTGATTGAGTAAGTAGAGATATAGTTGAAAAAGCCTTGGGTGTGATTGGGGATTTGACCTCCACAACCTCTAGGAAAAAAGATCTGTTGGAAGGCAGGGTGATTGTCCAAAGATGTGATGAATCTGTGGAGCCATTGCCAGACGACCTCTAGCTTTGAATGTCTTCTCCTATAACCGTGAGGATGTTTTCGTTTGTTGATGAGCGAAGAAGGGTCTGGAGAATATTGGAGGGCCATTTGGAATGCTTGATTGAGCAGAGTGGAGTTGATGTCTCTGGCTCTGGCCGTGGGACGATTGCCGGTGTGGTAGCCACAAAGGATCCTCCCAATCATGTCCACATAAAACAAAAACCATGTCAGGTTGCGGGTGAACAAGTGCTGGGAATGGTTCGGGATTCCTGAGACTTTCTCGACCACTTCAATGTTGGCCCTCTGTTTCCAAAACCGGAACCAATTTCTTCTGTTGATCCATAACTCATCCAAGGCGTCATTCTGACTTTTGGTTTTCCCGATCCCCACCCTCTCTAGTTCTTCTTGCCGTTCTTCTTCTAAAAGCGGATAAAAGGATTCGATCATCCTCTGTTGTTTTTCCTGCACCACAAGTGCCCTCATCTTCTTGTAAACCACATCTGTGAACACTTTTTGGACATCCTCTGGCTTGCTTGCTGTGATCTGGAGTGTATCCGTCTTAGGCTCAACCGAGTCAATGTACATCAGAATCGATTCTACTCGCAGTCGATCCTTTTGCAATAATGGACGAGAAGGGTGCGTGTTCTTTTGTGAGAACCGACGAGGTGTCAGACTTAGACCACCGACACGAGTGAGCAACAAAGAAGAAGCAGACCTTTTGTGAGAACCGACGAGGTGTCAGACTTAGACCACCGACACGAGTGAGCAACAAAGAAGAAGCAGACCTGAACGACCGCGATGAGTTCGAATGGAGAGAGAACGAGTTGGCAATGAGAAACAAGTGTTGTATGAAACTTGAATGAACATTGCAATGCACACCTTTTGTGAGAACCGACGAGGTGTCAGACTTAGACCACCGACACGAGTGAGCAACAAAGAAGAAGCAGACCTGAACGACCGCGATGAGTTCGAATGGAGAGAGAACGAGTTGGCAATGAGAAACAAGTGTTGTATGAAACTTGAATGAAGAAAAAGAAAATACAACTGAGAGAATTGAAGTTGAAATAGTCTTTTCTACATTAGGTTTCAACCCTGTTTATCATCATTGCGCATCCATTTCCCCCATGTCAAGCGCAGTGGTTCATGGCTATGAGCATTCCCATCTGTGACATGTCAATACCCCCCCATGCTCATTGCCGCTGAATCTTCAGTTCGGAAATGACCTGCGAATGTTTTTGCCGCCCGAGTGCCTTGGTGCACATGTCGGCTTTCATTTGAGCAGTGGAGATGTATTTGATCTTGAACAGGCCGGTGTCGTAGACTTCCCTGATCCAATGATAGATCACATCGATGTGCTTGGTGCGTTGCTGGAAAATAGGATTGGTTGCCAAAGCAATTGCGCTTTGGTTGTCGACGTAAAGTTGATATTTTACCGTGAATTTGTTGTTGAGAGATTTGAAGAGTTGATCGAACCAAACCGACTCCTGGACCCCTTCATAAAGAGCCCGATATTCAGCCTCCGTTGTAGACGTGGAGACCGTTGGTTGTTTCTTGGAACGCCATGAGATGATGTTGCCGCCGAGAAGGGCGATGTACCCAGAATACGATTTTCGATCATCAGGACAATTAGCAAAGTCCGCATCGGTGTAGACCTGAAAGTCTGTCATGTCCCCTGAACCATCGAGCATGATGCCGTAGCTGGCCGATCCAGAAAGGTAGCGAAGAAGATGAATGACCGCTTTCCAGTGAGTCAGTCCTGGTCGTTCGAGATGCTGAGAGAGTTGCGAGCATGTGAAAGAGATATCAGGCCTAGTTGATACTGACAGGTAGTTCAGTAGTCCGATGACTTTGCGATAGTTGACATTTAGTTCAAGAAATGATTGATGGTCGTCATCAGAAGCCCGAATTAACCGTGTGTTGGCCACCATCGGCGTCGAAGCCGGACGACATTCAAGAAGATCGTAGTCCTTCAAAATCTTCCGTGTGTAAGTTTCTTGTGACAAGTACAGTTGATGGGAGCCGTGCCGAGTGAGAGTGATGCCCAAGAGATGTTTGGCTTCGCCGAGATCCTCCATAGTGAAGCGTGCCGAGATGAGTTTCTTGAAACGTTCGACATCATGACTGATGATAATCATGTCATCAACATACACGTGCACGAAACATTCCCACCCGTCAACTTGAGAAACAAAGAGACACGGATCCGCGGGCGATGACTTGAAAGCAATCGTTGAGAAAAACGCCTTGAGTGCCGAGTACCAGACTCGAGGAGCCTGCTTCAGGCCGTATATAGCCTTTTTAAGAAGAAGACAATGACCCTCGGGGACTTTCAGGCCTGCAGGTGGTCGAAGATAAACCGTCTCTTCCAGGTCTCCATTGAGAAACGCGTTCTTTGCATCCATTTGATGTATCGCGTATCCTTTTGATAGTCCGATAGTCAAAGCCGCTCGTAGACTCGCAGCCCTGCCCGTTGGAGCATAGGTGAACGGACAGTCTTCCGCCGCTTGACGACTGCCTTGCGCACATAGTCGTGCTTTGAATTTTAAGAATTTGCCTAAGGTGTCCGACTTCTTGCGAAATACCCAGATGGTACCAAGTAGTTTTGTCAAGCGAGGCGTTCTGACTACCTTCCAAACGACCAGCTTCTCCATAGCTCCAAGTTCAGCCTCAATGGCCTCAAGCCACTTCTTGGCATCTGGTGATTCGATTGCCTCTCGATAAGTCCGTGGAACTTCCGATGCGAAGAAAGCAACAGCGATTGCCGCTCGTCTCTTGTAGTTGAGGATTTGTGATTCATCAATGTCGCCATTGATGTCTCGCGGAGCCTTGTCTGAGGTTAGAAGATAGTCGAAGCCAGGCTTCGGTTTGTTCCCTGAAGATGTTGTCGGAACAGAAGCGGGAACGTTAGGAGTTGTCTCTTGAGGTAATTCGGCTGGGTGTTGAACTAATGGTGGTGTGTGTTGATTGGCGCAATCTTCTTCCACCACTGAGTCGCTAGTGAAGTACTCGTCATCCACCTCCGAATCGGGTTCAAGGCGATCATCGGACATCCGGATGGGTGCAGAGTCGACTGACTCGTTGAATATTTCCTCAAAGTTATCCGGAAGAGATGGATCAATGAAACCCGATGTATCAGCTGAGGAGAAAAGGGAGACTCCTGGAAATGTAGCCTCGTCGAATTGAACGTCATGACTGCGCTCAACCTTTCCTCCTGCAGTTAGGATGCGCCAGTTGTGCATCCCCAGCTGATATCCCATCATGATTCCTCGTTTAGCTGTGTCGCTGAATTTTCCGACACGAATGTCCCCAGGAATATTGAAATACGCTAAACAGCCAAACGGACGGAGTCTCCGAGTATCGAACTGATGCCCGAACCATAGTTCGTATGGTGTCGACCAGTTCAAGGTTTTCGTCGGTGTGATGTTTTCCAGAAAAACCGCAGTGTTTACTGCCTCGGCCCAGTATTTGGTGGGAAGATTTGATTGCTTCAGCATTGCCCGAGCCTTCTCGGATGTAGTCCTGTTGCCTCTCTCTGCGACCGAGTTTTGCTGGGGCGTGTACGGGGCCGTGACTTGGACTTGGATCCCCTTCTCCTTAAGAAATGACAGGAACTCTTTTGAATTGAACTCTCCTCCGCCGTCAAAGATGACAGTATGTATTTGGGCAGAATGATGATTGGTTACTTCGGCAAAATATTGGAGAAAAAATGAAAAAGTCTCGGATTTCTTTGACAGGATGTACACATGACGATATCTAGTAAAGTAATCGGTGATTTTGAAATAGTATTCTCCCCCCCCATACGACTTAGGGTTGATCCTTCCACTAAGATCCATGTAGATATATTGCAGAGGTCGAGAAGCGGTCGGTAGTTGAGAAGGAAATGGAATTCGATGAGATTTTGTCATTGAGCAGTGATCACAATTGAACTTCGGGATCGAGACGCCGTGCATCTTGCTTAGAGCCTCTCTGCTGGGGTGTCCTGATCTGCTGTGAAGACTGAGGATGTCAGTTGCTGATGTCTTCATTGCTGAAGATGTTGGAGAAATTGACTGACCGGAGTTGTTGATCTTGATGCGAACCCGAGGTGTGGAGTTTACCAGGGACGCTTGAAAGATAAGCTTTCCGCTTCGAGTGACTGTGAAACCTTTAGTGGTGCAGTTCTCGATGATGCAGTGATGCTCGAGTAGGCGCCCTAGACTGATGAGAGTGCCATTAAGCTTTGGCACATGAAGAGCCTTCAGATTGACGATCTCGCCATTTATCGCTTGAATCGGAACAAATCCTTCTCCAACTACTTCCAGTTTGTTACCGTCTGCTATCTCAACATGAGAATTGCGCGATCGATATCCCAAGAAGTTGTTGCGATCGGAGAACATGTGGTGCGATGCGCCACTGTCGAGATAGCTGAGCTCGTAGTCTCCAGTGAACGTAGACAGGCGAGCTGTACAACGTAGCCCGTCGGCTGTCTTCAGAGACGAACGATCATCTTCGCTATCGGAAGCCGGCGTTATGGCTTTCTTGGCCTCTTTCTTCTTCTTAAGCATCCGACAGTCTTTCGCTTCATGACTTGCCCCTGGCGAGTGAAAACCAGGTTTACAGCGCGTCCACTTCCGACCTGCCGGCTTCTCGGCTGTCAATGCCGTGTCTTCCGTCTTGATGGTGACGGCCGTGGAGGATGTGGAAGGCGCCGTGTCGCGATGTTTATTTTCAAGGGCGTCACGAATGATCTTGATACTAAGCGGCCTCTTGGTATATAGAAGTTCTTTGGTGGAGTCGAAGATAGCCGGTAGCTTACTGACCAGTCCTTCGGCAAAGACCGATTCACGAATGTCGGCACCTATGGGATCGCCAATGATGAAGCCAACTGATGAGAGGTTACCGAGATGAGTGTCCAAGTCGTGAAGAAATGTAGCCAGATCTTTACGAAATGTAAAGACGTGATAGTCCTGATACACTTTGGACTTGTTCTCTACAGCCGTCGATTGATAGTAGTCGGTCAGAAATTTCCAGATCACCGCGGGATCCTGTTTGTCGAGAGGTGGCTGTGCCGCTTTCAGTCGGTTGAAATTGTTGTCCCCCATGTGCTGAGTGAGAATACCGGCGGTTTTGAGTCGGTTGCTGTTGTAGATTTTCAGCTCCGCAGCATCGGTAGGCTTGGTAGTAGTGGTAAGATACTCGTAAAGGCCATGCTGCATGCAGTAGCCTCCGATCGATCGTTCCCACGAACTGAAGGTCGTGTTTGCCAGTGAAGGCATGTGCGTGGTCTTCTGATCCGTCATGATATAGCGAGCGAGTTGATTGTTTATGGTTAATCAATGAGAGCGCAGGCTCATAACCTAATGGACGAGAAGGGTGCGTGTTCTTTTGTGAGAACCGACGAGGTGTCAGACTTAGACCACCGACACGAGTGAGCAACAAAGAAGAAGCAGACCTTTTGTGAGAACCGACGAGGTGTCAGACTTAGACCACCGACACGAGTGAGCAACAAAGAAGAAGCAGACCTGAACGACCGCGATGAGTTCGAATGGAGAGAGAACGAGTTGGCAATGAGAAACAAGTGTTGTATGAAACTTGAATGAACATTGCAATGCACACCTTTTGTGAGAACCGACGAGGTGTCAGACTTAGACCACCGACACGAGTGAGCAACAAAGAAGAAGCAGACCTGAACGACCGCGATGAGTTCGAATGGAGAGAGAACGAGTTGGCAATGAGAAACAAGTGTTGTATGAAACTTGAATGAAGAAAAAGAAAATACAACTGAGAGAATTGAAGTTGAAATAGTCTTTTCTACATTAGGTTTCAACCCTGTTTATCATCATTGCGCATCCATTTCCCCCATGTCAAGCGCAGTGGTTCATGGCTATGAGCATTCCCATCTGTGACATGTCAATATGCAACACTGATTTGCCTGCTGAAAATACCGTCTTGTCAAACTTGAGGATGTCAACAGGTTCTTTGACAACTATTTTGGTTGGCTTGCTGATTGCTTTGGTTTCTATGCTGGGTAACACTGTTGTCCGGTCAAGATTCTCTGATGATAAACCATCGTTCCATCCTTGCCGGGGGATGATCAGATCCCTATCAATCAAAGTGCCAGAAGACAAAACTTCCCAGACATTTTCTTCTCCTGTATGATTCTGATAATTGATTTCTTTATCATGATTTGATACCAGGTTTTTTCCTCCATAGATTGGATTAGTGCCATGAAATTTTGGCTGATCATCACATATAAGGGAAGGCTCAATATTTTGCCTTGATGAGCTTTGAGAAACCGGTATAATGCTGGCCCAGTCAGCATTTTGTATTGGAGTTTTTGCAATATCCATCTCATTTCCAAAAGCAAATGTGTGGGAACTCCCTTTCTTTGGGGTTGATATCTTAGGGGGAATGGACAGATTGCTGGATGCAAGCCCAATGATGTCATTAACAGTCGAAGAGTTCTCAATTCTTCTTCTTTTTCTTGGTGACTGCATGGTATCTTCAAACCTTCCAGCTAGATCTGGAGCATCACCTTCATCTGAAAGGCTTCTTGAATTTTCCAAAAAGTTCATTATAGCTTCCACACCAAATTTGGTTGAAGCTTGACCAATTGATGATGCATCTAGTGATCCCGGTAGAGGATAGAGTTCATTAGATGTACTATGTGAGGGATGGTGATTTAATTCAGAGGCTTCTTCTGTATGAATCCAAGGAAAACATTCTGCCAGCTGGTCCCATTGTTCAGATGAATTGTCTATCATTGATGTTTGCATTGCAGAAGAGCAAGTGGAGACTCCATGGTCCCTGGTCTCTGGCAGGTAATTTATCATGTTTTTTCCTCCCAAGTTGCAAATTGTGGTTGAGTCTTGATTTAAGAGGATTTCTTGATCAGAGCATTGGTTATCTGAGATCTTGTTAGGCAAAAATAGGTCCTCAATTCTGGGAGCTTCATGAGTATCTGTAAATCCAAGGGGATAACTCAAATCATCCAATTCCCACATTGGTGTTGCCATAGTTTGATAGATTATACAAGCTGCTAACAAGACAAGGAAAAGTAAAACATGGTCCATAGAGGCCATCATGAGTAATCTTTGAGATTTTTCAAGGATTTGTAATTCTTTTTGTTGATGGTTTTGAGTGGGGTTGTGGATCACAGAATATTGGGTTTCATTTGGACCACAAACCTCCACATGGAGGACCTCAGTAAATTTTGATTGAATCCTAAAATTCCTGTCCAGCTATCCCTTTTGCTACAAATCTTTAGGATTTTGGATTCAGTATTGTTGCATGTCACATACACATAATTACCTGTTCCATTACACTCTTCACATTACATAATCTACTGGCTGTCAAACATTATTTTACTGATGGAAAAAAAGAACAATTGACAAATATCCTCTGCTACTACATCATTGTGGCTTATACTCATCACCCTCATTCACAGCTTTCATTAGATCTGATGTAGAGTTTCACTCAGAAAACAGATTATGGCCCATTTGGACACATCATTATGCATTATAAGTTTTAAATTTCAGTGCCAAATTGTGAGATGTATATATATTGATACAACACAATCCTGCACTAAACGTGAAAATTGATAATGTATAATGGTGTTGTCCAAACGGGGCCTATATGTTTAAAAAGAGATATATTTCAAAAATAAGAATTAATAGAAAGGGTTTATTGTCTTTTCAGAGAAGCTTGGAACCCAACAAAAAATTTTCGTCTTGGCAGATCCCATAAATTATAATCTTAGAAAATCCCTATTTTCACAGCTCATGCACTTTGAAAATCTAGGAAGATAAACTTACAGACCAACGTGTTATACCTCATGATGTGTCCAACCGTGCCCGGTGATGTGATCCTCATCTGATTTTCCATTCCTTGGGTCGGTCAGTTGGGTCAGTTGGATGTGGATAGCATTCGCATTCGCCAGAGGATTACGATGAACCCCTTGAACCCCTCCCCACTCTAATCATTCCTTCACCGGCTCGACAACCGACGCCACTTCCGGGCATGTTTGAGTGCGACATCAGCTTTCTCATGTATTGTGCTCGGAAGAATAAGCAGAAGAAGACGGTTTGGTCGGGAGTCAGATCCAAAGTCAAAATTTCAATCTCGTTCAACTGCCACACGATTGACTTACCTCGCTTCAAAGAATTGGTCACGTTAGCGTGCGGCGAACGACACCCGAATGCGCCCCCCTTGATCGATCATGGTACAAACTCCTCGCCACCAACAATGCTCTGGGTGGCCTACATGGCCCGTAACCCAAAATGGCTGAAGACCGGATCGCAGTCAGTGGCTACCGGCCCTATGTTTGCCGATTGGATGCAAGACATAATCAAGGGCGGTGTGAAGAAGGGAGGGCTCCACCTCAAAATGGACAACCCAAGCGACAACAAATCCCTTGCGGCCGACAATGATTTGATGGCGCAAACCGTCTGTCGTCATGCGGCTCAAATGGCAACTCTAATGTCCGTGTTGGATAAGCACCCTTCAACCTCTGCTGACGGCCCTCCTGGCGCACCGCTCTCACAAACCCTGCCCCTTGGGCAGACACCCTTTGATCTCGATGATGACGCGGTGAGTCACTTTGCGTTTTGGGAGGCTAATTGGTGTATGGTTGGTGCTGATTCGGTCTTTGGGGGGATTCTCACACATGTCATTATATAGGAAGACTCCTGTGATGAGAGTTTTGATGCGCAAAAAATCATTGAGGAGGAGATCTTTAGGAAATATAGTGGAAACATCGGTGTGGACCCAAGCCATTCGGTCTACCCGCATCCAACCGATGTCAATTGGTATGTTATCCTCACAGCTGGGAATGTGGCGTCCTGGGCTTGAGCAATTGTAAGTTTGATTTGTCTAGCAATAATAGGCAAAAACCTCTTTTCCAAAGCAGCTGACTTGTTCGGGCCGCTAGCATGGCAAGGTCAAGGGGGTCAGTCTCACCTCCCCACCGAGCTGTGTCAAGTTTTACAACCGCAAGACTCGCAAGTCCACGCATGTCGACCCAAACGAGCATCCCGTTACTCCTCACGTGCCTCCGTTGGCCGCGAGTGCCAACCGACCGGATGCCTCACCTCCTATGGGTCAGATCGTGACCCTGGATTTGGTGGCATCCATTGTGGAGATCTGCACCGAGACCATCTCAAAGAAACAGGCACGGTCGCCGGAAAGCTCCAGTTTGCCCGTCGGGGTCGCCGGGTCCGAGGGCCAACTGCTTGATTATGTCAAATTTGCCGGTGTCGCAAACCCGGAAGAAACCATGCGTGTGCTTGAGCGGAACGAGGTTGATAGCTACACAATGTTTGCCGAGGGATTCTTCACCCCCGAGCAATTGCAACAGTTAGGCCTCACTGTGGGGACCCTGGCTAAGCTCTGTCGAAATAAACCCTAAGCCCTAAACCTAAACCCTAACCCTAAACCCTAAACCCTAACCCTAAACCCTAAACCCTAAACCTAAACCCTAACCCTAAACCCTAAACCCTAACCCTAAACCTAAACCCTAAACCTAAACCCTAGACCTAACCCTAAACCTAAACCTAACCCTAAACCTAACCCCCCCTTGAAGCAGGGGCCATTGGATTTCCGACAACTACGCCAGGTCCCCAATGGCCCCACAATACCCAGGCAGATGAACTACTACGCTCGAACCTGTCCAGGTACTGTGCCTCTCCTGGGTTAACCCTAACCCTAACCCCCTAACACGGTAAACCTAACCCTAACCCCAAAAACCTGCCCCCTAACCCCCATCAGGGGATGGGGCCAGTGGGAATCGAACCCACGACCTGCTGGATGGTCAGATGTTAGGGCCAGTGCAAACCGCTGGGCTACAGAGACTTTGTCTCTGCCAGTGTTTTTGGAAATCTAGTCAGCTGGGGGACCCAGCTCCAGGCAGCTCACCCAGCTCTGGCAGCTCTTCGGTTCCAAACCAAAGATAATGGCACCATTTTCTCCGGTTTGGGACCGAAGAATTTGAGTGACACAGGTGTGTAGTCCTCAAAAAAATTGAAATGATCTTGTTTCTTTGTCTTTGTTTTTCTCTCTCACCCTGAACTCACACACGGCATGTAGTCCGCTAAAAATTTGTACCCCTTGTGGGCAAGAATGAACATGACCATTTAGTCGCATGTGGCAACTCAAATGGTCCGGCGGAGAGAGAACAACCAAAAGATCAACTGCCAAAGGGCACAGCAGATCATCTGGCCCTCATTCATTGCGGCCCATGGGTACGGACGGGCTAAACATGACACAGGTAAGAACTAAACAGGAAAACATGGGCATACAGACATGTGTTTCAGGCTTGTTCGCCGCGTGGGCATACAGACAGAGATGCAAATTAAGCCACCCATGAAAGGGTAAGGAAAACTACGATACTATAAGGGAGTAGATCTCTCTTGAACATAGTGCTCCAAGCGGGGAACTCCCTCACATAACAAACGGGCCACACCTAACGGGAATCCCAAGCGGACCAACTCATTTTCGGTGGATCGTTGGAAAAAGGTCCAGTGAGTGATCCCGTTCGACCTTAAACGACGGCGGGTCGCTTGATTGTTTTCTTCAATGTGAGCCACGGTCAAGTAAGTATCCATGTCGACCGCTTCCATCACTGGAGCCTCGGGACCTAATGGTTGGCGATTGGCGTGATGATCATGACCTGCACGGGTTGGCCCTTGGATGACCTCGATTTCGTTTTCGTTGTCAGCCGGGGCCTGATTTTTGGCTTGTTTGACCAGTCGTCCGGGAGCGGAACTAGAAGAAGGGTGACCCTTGCCAATGGCCTTGGCTTTGGGCTCGTCTTCGTGGGCTCTCTTCATGTGACCGCAACCACTGCTGACCGTCTGTCAAATTGGCAGACTGGGTTAGTAATTTGAATAAATACATACTCAACGTCGGGTGAGCATGGCATTACACACCATGGATTGTGTCGGCTTGATTGCCGGCGTTTCTCGAACCGATCCCTTGGCTTCACCGGCCGCGCCTGGATTGGTGATCCGGGTGGTCTACAAGGCATAATTTACGTCAGTCAACACCGTCATGAGCTTGGTGAGATCAGAGGACACCTCGGCTCGGCTCACCTGGGCGGCGTTTGGCGGCATCACCTTGGGAGGCTCCTTCATAACCTTGTTGGGGAAATTTTCGTAGGCACGGGCCGCGAAATCGATGAAATCGAATTGACCGTGGATTTCAGTCTTGTTCTCTTCACTGAACTTTACGTGGCCCAAGATGAATGCTTGCCAGTGAAGCGCGCCAGCGTTGCGGGCGGCAGATAAGAGGCGGGAGAGAGGCATGTCATCAAGCGGAGCTAGGTGATTGATAGCCAGGCCTTGGAAATGCTTCCAGGTCATGGATTGCAAGTCCTCGATCATCGCCGCCAGCTCGCGAGCGGGGGTGATGATTGACCAGCCATTTGCGGCGTCCTTGACTTTGGTATGGGGGAAGAACCGTTTGTGGGCGCTATGGATAAATAAAGAGAAATCAAGATGAATTGATGCCTTTCGAGGAGGATTATCTATCAAGCCTTCCTCCTCCAACTGGGTTTCAGGACAGAGGACTATTTTAGACACACTAGGCATGATAATAGGAGTTATTGTGGTTGGTCTAACGATCAATGCAAGTCCGAGCGGAAGCAGGTGGATGGGGCCTTTGGAAGCACCAACCCAGGCATCCGTTGGCGCCTTTTAAATACTGGGAGGGAAGGCCGAGATCCCTTGTACTGCGAAGACACTCATATCTAATGCCAACTGGTCACCATCACGGCCCAAATCCACGTCACTGCGGATATATCGTGCTCACCGGAGCATATCCCTCATATCCATTCCACCCCTGCGTGTCATGACCGAAGCCCAGAGATATCAGAACAATCGGGGCTGTCAGAATAAGTTGCCGCCCATGAGGGTTGCCCCACGAACTTACTCATGGGATACAGACCCCTAATCATGTCTTGTCACAGCGGTCATGATTCAATATCGTGCGCTATCTTCGTTGCAAGGTAACCATAGAAAACACCGGGCAGACATTTTAGAAAGGAATACCCTCAGGCTAGTAGCTAGTACATACAGGTTGAAAGCAAGATGAAGAAGAGAAGGGGGGCCGGAAATTCCAAGGCCCCCGATCCTCAAGCCTCAAAGAATAAGAAGGGGGAGTAGGGGGAGTAGAAAAGGAGACTAATCTAACATGACCTGGTCGCCGCGTTTCATTCACCAAAATGAAACTCGGCCATGTCTGGAGCACCTGTAGTCTCGGGGCATGGATAGCCAGCGTGGTGGAAGAGCTTCTGGCACAGGCGCGCAGTAGCAATTCGGTAGGTAGTGGCCTCAATCGTCCACTCGGGGTCGGTCGACGTTGCCAATGCCTGTGAGCGTCAAAGATTTGACTTCACCTGGGAAAAGACGAGCTCAATTGGGTTGAGTTCGGGACAATACGGCGGCAGAAACAGAAGTTGGACCCCAGCGGCCCGACATAAACGCCCAATTCGACCGGCCCCATGGATCCCGGCATTGTCCAGAACAAGAACAGAGTTCTTGGCTGGATATCGATTCATGCGCGGGAGCTGCCCACTAGCCCGAGTCAGTACAGAATCACTACACCAGCACACCAAAGAGAGGGAGACCAACCAGACTGTACTTCACGAAGTGTGCAAAGTTGGTCCCCTTCACATTCTCCTCGGTCACCATTAGCGCGCCGATTGCAGGGAGAAGAGTGAATCGCTTGGGGTTTTGTTGGATGATTGATCGATTGGCGGGTTTGCCTTTTGAAGATTGAGAAAAAGTCCGCAACAAATTAGAGATGTCAGCAGGTACCCGCTTTCAGGTACCCGGTACCCGTTTGCAGGTACCTGTTTTACAAAGCAGGTACCCGGAAACAGGTACCGGGTGCGGGTGCGGGTGTCAACATTTGCGGTAAAAAAGGCAGGTACCCGGGTACCTGCCTTACACCCGCCCTGGGAATGCTTCCCCTGAAGAATTTAATTTATCATTGGTGGTCCAACACCCCCTTTTTTGGGTGTGTTGGGCTGCACAAAGGTGTCAGCAACCCATGTTGGTGTACAGTCTTGATGACTGGAGGAATTTCTCCAGTCATAAAGACGGTGTACAGTCTTCATCAATGGACATTGAATAAGGCAAATGAGGCCAAGCAAAAGGGTAAAGCTAAAGATAGATCAGAGAGAAGATAAACTTCAAATTGGTGATAGAATAATTTGTTTTTCTTTATTTCTTTATTTTTATTTTATTCTTACTCATATATCTAGTGAATATCAATCTTATATTTACCAAGTCATGCAGAAATTCAAGGGTGAGATTTCTGGGTATATTTGCCTGCAAAAATGTGCCAGGTACCCGCAGGTACCTGGTGCAGGTACCCGGGTACCCGCCCTGGCGGCCCTAGCAGTATGAAATGCCAGAGAAGCGCCGGTGAGCTACTGATAGAGGAGCGAGCCAAGATGAGATGAGCAAAGAAAAGAGCACCTATGAAATGCCAGAGAAGCGCCGGTGAGCTACTGATAGAGGAGCGAGCCAAGATGAGATGAGCAAAGAAAAGAGCACCTGATGGTGGTGCGGGATGAGACAGAAATGAATGAGTGATCATTGCATGACAAGGCAAAAGAGAAGCGAGACAATGAAGAACAAAAAGAAAGAAACAGAAAGAGATCAGACCTATGAAATGCCAGAGAAGCGCCGGTGAGCTACTGATAGAGGAGCGAGCCAAGATGAGATGAGCAAAGAAAAGAGCACGTGATGGTGGTGCGGGATGAGACAGAAATGAATGAGTGAGGAAAGGAAAAAGAAAAGAAAACAATCGGTACAACTGTGAATCTATCTACAATGTGGCTAACCCTAAAGAGATGATGAACAAAGTTGGACCGCAGTATTCCCCCTTTCTAAACCCTATCTGTCCCTGTGACATGTGTGTGTCGCTTCATCCCAACAGCCCCCCGTGCTTGGCAAGCAGTGATCAGACCTCTTGACGAATAGTCAGGTGTAACTTCTTGAGAAATTGTCTTGTCTTGATGGGAGACAAGGGTTTGGTGAGTAAGTCGGATAGATTATCGTTAGTTGGAATGTAGGAGAGAGTGAAGTTCGATGCCTGCTGGATGTGATGACGAAGCCAGTGGTGTCGAACATCCATGTGTCGAGTTCGGTGTTGATAAAGAGGATTGTTGAGAAGAGCTATCGCCCCTTGATTGTCGCAGTGAAGGTGTGCTTTGAGTTCTGAGACGTCCAGTACCGGCAGGATATCTTGAAGCAGTTGTTCTGCCCATCGAATGTCCTGGCCCGATTCAGAGCACGCCCTGTACTCCGCCTCCGTTGTCGACATGGCCGGCCCATCGTCGTCTTGTTTTGCGCAACGCCAGCCCATAGGGCCATTGAACAGCACGAGGCTGCCAAGGAAGGAGGCAGCTTGCTGTCCGCTGGCGTAGCTCGCATCAGCATATGCCGTGAGCCTGTCCTCGCCGGGTACGTTGCCGAGAGTGAGGGAGAGGTTTACCGAGTATTTGAGATATCGGCAGATGTGAAGAAAATGATTTTGATGTGTTTTTGATGGACGGTTGAGGAATTGGGATAGGTAGCTTGAAGCAAATGCTAGATCGGGTCTTGTGCACTGGACGAGGTAGTTGAGAAGCCCCACTGCCCTGCGATAGTTGAATTTTGGGTCTACAGGGCTTTCATCGATAGGACACGTCAGCGCGTTCAGCGGAAGCGGTGCCGAGATGGGTCTGCAGTCTGACATCCCAAACTCCTCGAGGACCTCGCCAATGTATCGATCTTGGCAAAGAGATACGGTTCGCTTGTCACGATCACGAGTGACTCGCATTCCGAGGACCCAAGTGCAGTCAC